TTTCTTCAGGGGCAACACATCATAATTTCGATTCCAATGACTCTTTGATTGACCTTATTATTACAGCTTCTTCTGATCATGTGATATCACATGGTCAGTGTTCCGCTCCAGGATTCTCGCATACAAGCTAAAATCTAAATCGTTGCCTACTTTTATTCACTTGCCCAACTTTTGTAAAATAAATTAGGATAAACTAAAAAGTACATAATACATACATAAACACTCATGCCTGTCACCCAGAGGGGTAGGCAGAGACTATGGACTTCCATTTGGCGCGATCCTGACACACCTCTCTCGCCTCCTTTACATCCATATATCTACGCATACACGCTCGTCGGTTAAGGGTACTCCTAATCTGGCCCATTTTTAATGTATCGCCGATTTAGTCGATAAACCTTCGTCTAGGGCGTCCCTTCCCGACCCTGCCGTTAAAGCTAAAAAGTTAAAACTAAAAAGTGACGCTTCTAATTTAAATTTTGATCAATTAAAATTATCAATGACTGATATGTTATCCATCTTTAATAATAAAATAATTAGTCTATATTACACCCATGCTCCTGTACGTAAAGTTAGACTTAAACATCATTCAAACGATAGCCTATTTAGTTCCTATACAATCTCCTCAAATTCCTTCTTTTCAATTTTCTCCAGTTCACCAGGATGACTTTAAAAAATTGTTCTAGCAATTAAATCCAAGGCTGTGGCTTGTGATGAAATTAGTAGAACTATGATAGTCAATATACTGGAGTATTTACTACCTGCATTTACTCTCATTATTAACTTTTCGCTGGACTCAGGTCAGTACCCAAATCTGGAAAAAAGCTTTCATACGCCCTATTCCCAAAATATCGTATTCCACATTACCTAGTCACCTTCGTCCTGTATCTATATTGCCATTTCTATCCAAAGTTCTGGAAGCCTGCGTACATAAGCAAGTCTCCAATTTTGTCCTTAAACATAATCTACTCAGCGATTATCAGTCTGGGTTTCGTCTCGGTACCAGAATCACTACAGCATTACTCAAAGTTACGGAAGACTAACAGTGGTAGAGCCACGCGGCAGCTTTTGCTGTCGCACGGATGGGCCGGCTCGAACCGGGGTAGTACCACGACCTCACAGAAAACCAGCGTGAAGTAGAGATTTACCTCTGCGTTTCGCTTGGTTAGTACAGGAGGCCGGAGGCCCTTTTTACTGGAAATGAGGCATTCCATCTTAGTCCTCACGGGTGACAACGCATCTACATTTTGATTTGTAATAGAGGATAGATGTAGATGTCTATGGGCCGCAGCAACCACTTACCATAAGGTGGACTGTGTGCTCGTTTGTCACCCTTATTCTATAAAAAAAAAAAGACATCGGACAAGGTATGGAAAAGAAGAAAGTGACTGTAATGGTGCTTGTTGACTTTTCTAACGCTTTTAACGCAGTAAACCATGATATCCTTTTATGTATCCTGTCCTATTTAAGATTTGCACCCTCAGTCTTGGATTGATTCTGTTCATATCTTCGCGGGCGTCAGTAGTCCGTCCATTTGGGACAGAAGATTTCCAAATTGGCTAGTCTTGATGCTGGCGTCCCGCAGGGCGGTATACTTTCTCCATTAATTTTCTCAGTTTTTATAAACTCTATCACATTTATTCTTAACTGTTCGTACCATCTGTATGCTGACGACCTCCAAATTTACTTGCACTCAACTATTGAAGAGCTTCATGACGCTATTAGAATGTTAAATCTGAACTTGTTAGCTGTCAAAGAATGGTCTAGGTGTTTTGGAATATCAGTTAATTCAACGAAGTGTCAAGCTATAATCGTAGGTAGCTCGAGAATGTTGTCCGAAACTGATGTGACAAGCCTACCTACGGTCTATTACAGTGATATACTGATACCGTTCTCTTCTTCTGTAAAAAATCTTGGCCTGTATATGGATAACAGAATGAACTGGTGTACGCGTGTCACCGAAATTGGCCGCAAAGTCTTTGCCACCTTACGATTCCTCTATCGTCTGAAGAACTTTCTTCCAGTCAAGACTAAGCTAACACTTGCGCAAACACTTATAATGCCCATTATTGATTATGCAGATATTTGATACCCAGATTTGCACCAAAATCTTCTTAACAAACTAGAACATCTTCTCAATAACTGTATTAGATATATATTTGGTCTCCGAAAATATGATCACATCTCATTATCGTGAACGCCTAAAATGGCTCACTATCCGACAAAGACGAAACTCTAGAATTCTGCTTGTTCTTTTCTCAATTTTGAATAATCCAACTTCTCCAACATGTCTCAAGGACAAATTCCAATATCTCTTTTCAACTCATGGTAAGGTTCTTCGCTCTTCATCTAATCATAAGATCAATATTCTATCTCATTTCATCGGATTCACCAACAATTCCTTTACAAATGTAAAATGTGTCCCTGTCAAATGATCTCATTGTCAACTTTTGCACTATTTGTATACCACTCTTAGAAATTTAGATGCTCTATACCATTCTAAAAACCGTTCGAAAAAAGTGTTGAGCTTATATGTTACCATTGCTATCTCTACATTAATAAATGTTATATCTACTAGTTGCTTATGCTAGAAGTAATTTCCAAGCATAATTATATCGTTTACAAGGAAGGTTACATTAAAAGCCAAACAATGGGTTTTGGCTTTGGACAAAAACTGTCATTCGGTTGTCATAAATTATTTACTTTCACTAACAATTTTTTTAAGAATTTCCACCGAGAAGCCTGAAGACAAGATGTTACAGACCAAAGACCAGACGTTGGCAGAATTATTGTGACCTAACCACCAAGGGCCACATTTAATATAAAAAAAGAATAATGATAATATTAGATAAATTATAAATATTCTCATGAACATTTAATTTTAAAATGCTTATGTTAAGATGTAGTTCACCATCAAGTCTTTTTTATGGAATCGCAATAATGATGCCGATTTAAATTATAATATTAACACACAATCAACATTATATAACACTTAAATGAGAAAGTTTGTGGTTAACCAATGACATGTGTTCTAGATAATTCATTCAGTGTTGTTGAAATATGACTCTTTTGTCTTTGGTATAGATTGCAAATTATGTTATGATATTTATGATGTATGTTAGATAATTTTTTGTTGGTAGTTCTATGTTAAGCAATTTTGGTTAGTGACAAATAAAAAGGAACCATGGTAGCTCAGGATATTGACGGAATAACTTATAAGATTCTTAATAAAATATAAATTCTGTTTGTCCCAATTAATCATTGTTTCTGAACTTTTTAACCAATTTGATAATAATTAGGGTTCTTTTGGTTTATGTCTAAATTTTAAGATAAGAAAGTACACAAACCTATTAAGAAAATGTTTAAACTAAGATCCACTTAATTTACAGAATTATAATCATTATAATCATCAATACAACCCTCTAAGTTCGTATAATCCTATTGAATGGCTATTTCTAGAATAAATCATTCAAGGTGATTATATGAACTTAAATGGTTGTATTGGTGATTATAATGATAATAATGCTGTAAACACATTCTCGTTACGGTCTCGAATCATATTTTGTTAAACATACATATGACGCTCACCAGAAAATTCAAAAAATCGTAAGAAAATTTGAATTTCGTGGACCACCCTGGCGCTTTCACTTAAAACAACATGTTGTGTACCAACAGAACTGCAGTCAAGACCAGTACATACAACGTTACTATTTCCGATACCAATATCACCAACACTACTTTCCTAAACACTTACTATAACCTAAGATGTGTTTATATATAAATAAACTTATACGTCTTGGACTTTATAGAGACCTGAAAGTGTACTTCGGTATATGCTACTGGAACTTCTCGACGAGGAGGACTAGATGTGTCGAGTTTGGGCTCGTTTTGTTAGTTATGATATGACCTTACTCCGGACTTGATAGAGTGACTTAAAAGTGTACTTTGATGACTGCCACTGGTACTCTTCGACGTGGAGAACTAGATGTGCCCAGTTTGGTCTCGTTTTGTTAGTTATGATGAGACCTTACCTCCGGACTTGATAAAATGACCTGAAGGTGTACTTCGGTGAATGCTACTGGAACTCTTCGATGAGGAGAACTAGATGTGCCGAGTTTGGCCTCGTTTTATTAGTTATGATGAGACCTTACTACGGAGTTGATAGAGTGACTTGAAAGTGTACTTTGATGACTGCGAATGGAACTACTCGCCGAGGAGAACTAGATGTGCCGAGTTTGGCTTTGATTTGTTAGTTATGAATAGACCTTACTTCCGGCGGAGTGACTTTAAGGTGTACTTCGGTGACTGCTACTGGTACTCTTTGACGAATAGAACTATTAACATTTTTATAGAACTATTAATATTTTTCTCTGACGAATAGAACTATTAAGATATTTCCATTTTTTTTTAATTTTTTCACTATAATATGAGCATTATGAGTCGTGCACTTTTAGATTTATCAAACTTTTTTTAACTGAAGTTTGACATAAAATTATCGGAAAATAGTAATAAGGTTATCAGTGGAAACTTGTGTGTATTTAAACTACTTAAACAATTAGGTATAATCATGTTATACGTATTTTTTAATGCGCTTAAGGCATGCACAATTGGATTTACCAATATATTTTTTTTAATTATTATTAGAGTAGAATATTTTTTATTCAATATAGGCTCACGCTATTGCTCAGAGTGGTAGGCACGTAGGCAGAGACTACGGACTTCCGTTTGGCACGATCCTGACACAGATTTCTCATTTCTTTCACATTCATAATATCCATAATATATACATTATGCATACACGCTTGTCGGTTAAGGGTACTCATAATAGGGTGCATCTTCAATATACATTACCAGTTTCGTCGATGAAATTTCGTCTAGGGCGTACTATATCGATTCTGACTCTCACATCTGCAGCATAACATGTTGCATCCTGGTCCCAAAATATAGTACTATAAATATTATGTCTATGTATGTAATGATGTATTATGTTTTTTTTTTTACAGGAATAGCACGCAATAGCCAGCATGAATCGTTACTCAGTCAAAATATGCAACAGGTTGACATAGTCAATTCTACAGCTACTACACCCATCAGCCTCTTGGTTCAATCTCTTGTCAAACAGCTATGTACTCTCCTTGAGAAAGATTTCAATAGTGCCAATCAACTTTATAATAAAATATGTGAAAAGCTTCACAGTATGAATTTAATAGATGACTCATATGCTATGGGAGAATTTGAGGTCATGAGAAGTCAGTATCAACGAGCCTTATACCAGCTAGTAACAGTTGCGAGTGGTTCAGAAATACCTATCACTCTCCCTGACACCTGGCCCATAGTTCAACCGTCTGGCTTAGAATGGTCTAGGTATCATAAAGAATTTGAAGAGTTATACTTCATCGCTGGAGGAGGTTTTGGGAGTGTTTTCAAAGCTCGACATAGATTAGATGGGGTTGAATATGCTGTTAAAAAAGTCTACATCAAATCATCTGATGTGCATTCAATTATGACACATTTGGCCGAAGTAAAAACTATAGCAAGTCTCAACCATCCCAACATTGTGAACTATAAGGCCGCATGGCTGGAACCCATGATAGAATCCACTTTAAAGAAAAAGCGCAAATTTAAAATGGATGATAGCGATGAAATCTCTACTATAAATTCAAACATTGTGTCATCTGTACACCCAAACATTGTCAAATCATTTAAGACACATGACTCGAAAGAGCTTACAAGGAACAACAGTCAGTCTGATTTTGTCATATCTTTTAAAAATTCTGGCAGTTTTGAATGCGATGATAGCTCTAATGAGGATATTGATAGCGAGAGTGAGGAGGATTCAGCATCCCCAAGTGAACAGAATGCTGTTTGCGAAATCTTGTCAAGTAAGGAGTATGAAAATTGTTCAAGGGTTAACTTGAAATGGGCTACACTCTACATCCAGATGACATACTGCCAACAGACACTTAAACAGTGGCTGGATAACAGAAACAGCCGTATGTCGATGTCAAGAAAAAATTCTGATGATATGGTGCTTGCCAATAGTTACTCCAGCGATTCGTCAGGATTTGATAACTCATTCATCTCTGACTGTAACTATCCACTATCTTGGAGTCACATTGATGTTGTTATAGACATGTTTACTCAGTTGGTCCGTGGGCTGCATTACATTCATTCTAAAGGAATTATACACCATGATGTGAAACCAAGTAATGTGTTTGTTGCACGGAGTGAAACAGGACTGTTAGTGCAGCTGGGTGATTTTGGACTCGCGTGCCCGCTTCAGCAGTCTCATAGTGGATTAGCTCTTGGTACACACTTGTATGCTGCGCCCGAACAACTCGATGGGCAATGTAACCCTAAGGTATATACTATTATGATGTGTCATCATGTATTTGATATTAAGTTATAAAGATTTCCTACAATGCCTAGTTTCTTTTTTCGATAAACATATTGTATGTAAAGCCTATTTTTATTTTTGAGGCCGTGGTACTGTACTGGTCAGCTCTTAAAATTACTATTATTATCGATTTCTTTGATGTCGACATGGACCAAACTCAGAATGCTCGTTCGTGAAAAATATGATTGGATAATTACATCATATAATCTAAATATATTACTTTTAGTAGTGTGTTAAAATTTTGAAGTTAATTAGGATTTTATTATTTAAAAATTACATATTAAGTTATTTGACTACAAGATACTGACATCATTTACACTTCATATTACGCTGAACAATACAACTATGTATTCCAAAACCAAAAGGGGGATAGGAGGATCTGACCTAAATACAGGGCACAAAGTAACCTGGCTAGGAGGACTAGAACACTACCCATCCATCCATACATTACCTGTAAGAGCCGCATAGGCTAACAGCGCCAACATCACGAAAATAGATAGTCCATTACTCTCATAGGGGGATATTTGCCATAGTTACCACGCTTGAGATGCGCCGCAAGTATAAATATTTTTTGAGACGTCGTATTTCCTCAATTTCAGGGCACTCCTCTCGCTGCCTCATCTTCTGCCTCCTATTGGGGGCAATCTATGCAGCTAATCTATACTATATATTGGGGGAAGTTTGCATAGTTGACACGCCTGGTGAGCAGGTTGTCAACCTAAGTTTTTTTATTATTTTGATTTGGTATCAGGAAGATGCTGCTGCCCATCTCCTGTTTCAGTTTCCCTCTGCCGCCTCTTACAACAGCCACGGAACGATATGAGGTAGTGGATATTCTTGCACCGCCACTACACGGCCTCTAATTAAAGTGGCCCACGTGATGTATTTACTTTATAACAAATGTGCGAACGACCTGTAGAAATTTCAATCAAGAAATTATTATTATCATTACATTCTCATGTGATGTAGTGATAACTCATAAAAGGTAATTCAATTGATGTCTATTTTCATTTATTTTCAATTTCAGAGTGACATGTACAGCCTTGGCATAATACTTCTGGAGATGGTAGAGCGTTTTAGCACCGAAATGGAACGCGTTAAGATCATCACAGATTTGAGGAAGGGTCAGATACCAGCCCGTTTGAGTGCCAACTTTCCAAAAATTGCCCATATCATCGGTAAACTAGTGCAGTGGAGACCGAGCAAGAGGTTAGACACAAAGCAGTTGTTGGATGAGTTGAAATATCTTTCAGAAGACAAGGATGAGACCATAAGATCTTTAAAAGAGGAGCTGGCTGCAAAGGATGACGAGATCGCGAAGTTAAAGATGATGTTAGCCAAATTTAATCCTTAATTTTTGAAAAATGCTCGGTAATGCCAAAATAATATTCTAAGATCTGTTCTGACAAATGTACATTGTACATACAATACTTGGGTGTTAATGAACAGATCTCCTGTTTTATTATATATATAACCTGTTTTTTCTCTTTAGTTTAACTTTAGCAATTACTTTCTTTATAGGACGAACAGTTACTAACGCTACTTGCAATGCTGGTTATTTGCTATCGAGATCGTCCCGTTAAATCTATTTCTTGCTATATATCCATACGGTTGTTTTTATATATTTTTATAATGCCAAATTTATTTAAGTGTGAAAAGCAGTAATGCGAGGAGAATTAACCTTAAATTAGAATAAGGTCCATATAACTATATGAACTGCTATACATGCAACCTCGAATATGTCTTGGCGGGCACTGGTTGGGGCGTGTATGAGCGTTTGAACTGTTCGCTTTTTTTTTAATGGAATTTTGGTAAGGTTCAAATAGCAATTTAGAACGACATAAGAATCTAATATAATTTTTTGTTCGAGCTAATTATTATGATTTGCGATTTTTTCTCCACACAGCAGTTGTCCATATGTGCAATGCTTCTGAAATGATTTTCTTTTTTTAATATATACATTTTATTAGATTCACAAATATTCAAACAAGTTAAAAAGCACTATACTTAACATTATTATACTTTTGAAGTGAATTGTATGCGCAAGTTCCTATTTCTTAATATTCCAGTTATTTTTTATTTCCATTGTCTATATCGTGGCAATTGTGGCGGTGATAAGTTTTTAATTAAATAATAAGTACAATATTTTCTTTACATTTTTCATTGTTAGTTAATAATTAATCTGTTGGTGGAAGGTACGATGTTTCATGTAATTAATGTCAATTGAAATTTTATAATGATTAATAATTGCTAATTATTTTACGAGTCATCATAATTTCAGAAATCATACCTTAATAAATTTAAAAAAAAATCAAGGAAAATGTTTTTTTTTTAATATGGAAATAACACATTATAACGTTTTACTTTTAAAATTTAAAATTGTAACACTTGGAGAAAGGGCAACATTTACCATTAGTCATTAAATGAATGCCACAGATTGTTGTAACTATCTGAAATATTCATTGAGATCTCTACTTAAACATATTCCGTGTTATAAATTAGTTTACGTTTGTAATTAGCCTAACACTTAAACTAGAGTACGATTCAATAAACAAGGCAGGTGATTTTACAGCAATTGTCAAATTTCGCAAAGACTGTTGTGCCGTGGCCAAGGGAATTTTTACGCGACAAAGACTATTTTTATGTTATCTTATATTTACGCGAATACTATACATTTAAATAAAACTAATTTTACGGATTTATCGCGTATATTAACTTATTTTACATTCCCGACGTTTCAAGCACTTTACAGCACCCATGGTCACGGGGGGGACTAAGGTGTATGACGTCCCAATGTGAGTTAACCACGGCTACCTCCAGATTAAAAATTATTAATTTTTGTTCCGATCTACGCAGTATGAAGTTACAGTATCATGCAGTCTTGCAGTTGTATGCTTGGGTTGAGATTTAATTTTATTAATTATGGGATCCCAAGCAGATGGTAGCACCCAGCCATCTTCTCTATTGAAATTAGGATGTTTCTTGATTTCAATAGCCTTGCGAATCTTCCTTGGAAGGAATCGGTTTTCTTTAGCGAGGATTTGTAGTCTATCAAATCTAATGTAGTGACGGGGGCGATCCTGTACGTGCACATACACATAGCTGATGTGAAGAATAGACGCTCCGGGCAGTCTGCAGTCTGTGAACACGTGTGGGACGTCATACACCTCAGTCCCCCCCGTGACCATGGGTGCTGTAAAGTGCTTGAAACGTCGGGAATGTAAAATAAGTTAATATACGCGATAAAATCCGTAAAATTGGTTTTATTTAAATATTTTTATGTTATTAAATATGCAGTAATTTTGTTATTCCGAAAATAACTTGTAACTTCGTAACGTAGTAATGTACGCCACCCACATCTACGGAAACTTCGTAGCAAAGTTTAATATACATACATATCTCAGAATACCAGCGTAAAATAGCAGCTTAATGCAATGCAGCTTAAGCTTCATGATGTGTTCCGTATTGTGAGTGTAGAGAACCGGAGACCTATTCTACTGAAAAAGAGGCATTCTATCTTAGTCCTCACGACTGACAACGCATCTGCATTTTAATTCGCAAGCAAAGATAGATGTAGATGTCTATGCGCCACAGCAACCACTTACCATCAGGTGGACTGTGTGCTCGTTTCTCACTCTAATTCTATAAAAAAAGACCGATCTCGTCTTTTTCCAAAAAGTGATTTATTGACAGTCGCGGGCTTAAATTATGGTTTAAGAAGAGTTCCCTTGTCACTAAAGAAGTCCCTCAGTCGCGGCGTCACAATCTTCGCGAAATTTGACAATTACTTTTTCTGCCACCAGGACGGCGCCACTTAGTAATGAAGTGAAATATTTGTCAGATTTCATGGAGGGGAAGTTAATTTGTCAATGGATATTAGTTATATTTTATATTAATTAGATTCGAAATGAATAAACCAAACTACGGATGTTCCTAAAAGTAGAAAAATTATTAAGATAATTTATGAGCAAGCCACTGTCACATTCTTTTTTGTAATTACACACTCTAGGAACGGATAGATAAACTTTTATTTAAAACGCAACTTTTCAATTATAATGATATTGTAACAAATAACTTCATATCAATCCCAACTTTTCAACTCGGTGACATTTGGTGAGCGAGTGATTAGTCCTCATTGCTGTCAAATCCCGTAATTTACATTTTAGTACTCTATATTTCCGCGGGACTTGTTGCGTTAAACAGAGTCTAGTTTAAATCTGTGACTAATTATAAACCACTTTTTGAACTAGGCCGATTATGTTTTTACTTAAGAGGCAATTCCTTTAGGTATTGGATTTTTTGGCATACCAGAGCATCTACCGCATTCATGCGTAAGAAATTTTCAACTCGAATGCATAGATTTACTTATTACTTAAACTTGGACTGTTATTTTTTTTGATGTTTTTCTATTTTAAAATATGTAGTCTGATGTGATTTGAAATATAAGCTCCTGTCACAAAGTTATAGTGAGTAGTCAGTCCTACTTAAGAAACGTGTGCGATTGTGTGGATAGTTAAGTCAAATAAATTATTCACTAACAAGGGTTGTTTGATTAAAAGAAAATGCTCAATATGTCGATAACTTTATTTACAAAAAAAAAACGCAGCATAAATTATTATCTTAGTCTAATTTTATATTTACAGTCTTAAAATATATTTTTTCATTGATAAAACGAGCCTGTACAGGCAGCTTGTGAAGCCGCACAAGATTAAAAAGTTATTTCCAAGGTGTCGGAGTCCGAGCTTCACTGAAGCTAATTTGGCGGGTAATTGTGACACGCGCGCTCTTCTCACAATATATTGTCGATAGCATGGATTACGCCATTTGTAGCAGGGATGTTGTGCGTGACGACTTGCGCGTTGTTGACTTTGATGCGACCTGTAATTAAAATAAAATTATCATTTGCTCTACCTACTCTTGTATTTAAAATTAAATAAATAGGGAGTCATTAATGCTTAAAGTTTTTTTATTGAATAAGGTGACAAACGAGCACAGTCCATCTGATAGTAAGTGGATGCTGTCGCCAATAGACACATCTATCCCCACCAAAGACAATAAACGCCTCATTTCTAGTAAAACGGGTCTCCGGTTCTCTACATTAGTAAAAGTTATGCGATTTGTGTATTAAGTATCTGCGCATGTAAAATAACCTGAAATTATTTTGTCCGCTTAGGCGTCTTTAAGGACTTGAAATACCGTCTTCTTCAACAATCCGTTGGGTTAAGCTGATGTCCAAATTTCCCTAGGACTCAATGTATCGGCATATTGGAAGAAGTTTTTGAAACTATACAATAATATAAAATTATGAACGCAAAAAACAAACAAAGCTGTTGAATTCCACCATCGGACACTGCGACAGGACTCGAAATTTCATCTTCATCATCTCGATGGCTGGCGGTCCACTAAAGTGCGATTTATGCGGAATTTTCTGCCTTGCAGTCACCTGCAGTTTTGCCGGACCGATACTACTTATCTTCAAGAAAAGTGCCTACTCATTTCTAAAAAGATGTCAATGTCTATATGGATGTGTGACGGTGATCACTTACCATCAAGTGAGCCGTATGGTCATTTGCCGTCTGTTCCATATAAAAGTATTGTAAGGGATAATGCCTTATTACTTGATACTGGCAAAAGTGTATGAGTCCATAACTAAAGGCAAAAATCGGGGTGTGGTTGTGTCGTGGACACGGCCGTGCGTGTTCGAGAATACGTGTATACCTAACGAAACGACCTCAAAATGGCGGCGCTCTCCCTTCCGCCGCGTTGTCCAGTCCCTACAGTTCTCATTCAACGTAACTCTTTAAATTATTCTATTAAATTCTTTGATTCTTTAGTTATCGAGGGATGTAATTAAAATTTGGATGTAGATTTGGATGAGATTTTATTATCATCGGTTTTCTGAAATGCCTCCCACTATGGAAGCAAATTTAAAGGTTTATTCACGTAAAGACATGTGAAGTTCACACGCGGTAAAAGTGAAATCTTCAATAAACTAAACTGAGATAATGGCACGAATGCTGAATGGGTTATGTAAATTTAAATTTTATAATAAATACTGTATACTCATACACTTGCAGGCTAAATCCTATAGATCTATATGTTTGCCTTTTCAGCAGCAGAAGTAGCAGACTTCAGCTGTAGACTTTAATAGACTGTAAAGGTAATGGTTTTCCACAACGGTTCTAAAGAAGTTAAGTAAAAAGTAGCACGAATGGGTCGGCTCGACCGGGTAAGGACCACGTTCTCACAGAATACCAGCGTAAAATAGCAGTTAACGAAACACAGTAGCTTAACGCTGCTGTGTTTCGTATGGTGAGTGTAGAGAACCGGACACCTTTTTTACTGGAAACGAAGCATCATCTTAGTCCTCACGGGTGACAACGCATTTGCATTTTGATTCGTAATTGAGTATAGATGTGGGCCGCAGCAACCACTTACCATCAGGTGGACTGTGTGCTCGATTGTCATCTTTATCCTATAAGAAAAAGAGCACTGACCGGAGTTTTTCTGGAGCGTGAGCGGCTTGGCGTCCTCCATGGAGTTGCGCAGCTGGTAGTAGCGCATGCCGGCGCTGTACAGCGTGCCGGGCAGCACGTGGCGCGCCACCAGCGCGCGCGCGCCCGCCTTGTCCGCGAGGCGCGCCACCTCGTGCGCCGACAAGCGCGCGAACGCCGCGTCCGTTGGCGCGAACACCGTGTACGTTTTGCTCTCTATAGATAACAAATATTGATGGGACGCGTTCAGAGAGCGGTTTAATGAATAGTAAACAGTCATATATAATAGGTAAGTTTCTCATCGAAAGTAATTCTTTTACTTTTACAATGTCGCGTCGGTGGACGCGAAAAAGGTATGTTTTACTTTCTACAGATAACAAACGGGTAGGTAGGTAGGATTGCTCGTGGTAATCAAAAGGGTGGAACTTCTGCCGCGAAATATGTTCAGGGAGTTTTAATAGATCGTTTTGTTTGCCCTATATATGAGACACCCGCGTAAAAAACACGTAGCTGACGTGAAACACCAACGCTCCGGGAAGTCTGCAGTTTGTAATCACAAGACGGCCCCCGCCATTACATCGGATTTGATAGAACACAAATTCTTGCAAAAGAACATTGATTCCTGTCAAGGATGATACGTGAGGTTATTGAAATTAAAAAACATCCTAATTTTAATAGAGAAGGAGGCTGTAATTAATAAAATTAAAACTACGTCCAATCATACCACTACAAGACTTCAAGACACAATAAGTTCATTCTGCGTAGATCGATCTAAAGTAATAATTAAGAAGCTGAAGGTACTCTGGGTTAACTCAGACATCAAGACGTCAATCAAATCTGTCCCCCGTGACCATGGGTGCTGTAAAACACCCGAAACGTCAGGAAAATCAAACTTAAAAATAAGTATAACTAAACAAAAAAAAAATGTGTTCGCGTAAATATAAGAAATTATTATGGATGCAACATAAATTAATACTTCGTCACTTCGTTCTTCAGATATGGTTTATTTACCAGGTATTACCTCCGACTTTCTAGGCAACTTTGCACCTAGTAAGTTATATTTGAAGAGTGAAGCGACTCGTATAATAATGATCGAACTACATGTCGGGGAAATTTGATCACCTAATAAGAGCACAACATGGACACAGCAACTGTGAGATGCATAACAAAATATTGTATGGTGATCACTTACCTGACAGAGTATCTGCAAAACCACTGGCCTGTATGGCTTTGAGGAATGTTGTGAAACGTCGGTCTCTGTCTGCCTGCAACGTTTGGATTATGTCGCCCACAGGCAAAGGAAACATGACTCTGTCTACTGCGTGTGCTATTCCCTGAAACATTTTTTTTTTAAATATTTTGACTACACCTTGACTACATCATGTACATGTTATATATAAAAAAGAACGAGCTGATAGGTATCTAAAATAAATCATTTTAAGTAGAGTTCATTAAACCTTTTTAATTCGAACTCGTGAAGGATACATATAGCACTTTCAACTTTCACGTGCCAAAGAATCATTAATAAAACGTTAAAACTAGTATTGTAAATGTAGAAGTAATTTATGATTTTCAAATGTGACCATTTTGTACAAATTTGAAGTGTCAACGTCATCATCATTCACAAATCCACTGGTGAACATATGCCTTATAGTAATGTTACAAAGAATGGTCCTGAGCCACCTGTATCCATCGATTTGCTGTATGTCTTACCAGGTGGTTATTCCAACTAACTAATATGTAATAAGGAACTATCTTACAAGACGTTTGCCGGTACCAAGCTGCCACATAAAAACCATTCTTACTTAGCGGTTGTTGGTCCGTCGAGTTATACGGCAGGCCTATTGCCACTTCAGGTAACTGATCCGTTACTATCCGTTATAAGTATGCCTTGGAAGACACTATTGAAATTATTGAGCAAAGTTCAAGTTTTAAAACGTAGTAGAGCCACGCTGCAGCTATTTAATGGTTGTAGCACGAATGAGTCGGCTCGACCGGGGTACTTAATGTAGCTGTCATTCATATGGTGAGTGTAGAGAAACGTGAGACTCTTTTTCCTTCACCGTCCGTTACAACTCTCTGCATTTGGATAAGCATCGAAATACTGACAGTCAACCGGGCACCACTGAAGAGACTATAGTACTGCCCAAGTATCAACGGATTCAAAGGTTTTTTCTAGTCCACAAAAGTAAGTGGAAGATTGTACTTATAGGTTTTCTGTACATTTTGCTAGAGGTTATTAGGTGGTCTATGGTAATGCTTTTCGGAAACCAGCTTGTTCGAGAGGCTGAAAATCGTCAAGGCTTGTTGTAAGGTGATTCGTAATAATTCTCGCAAACAGCACATAGACGAGGTTCAGAAAGGAAATCGGTCTATAGTTTTTTAATACGGCGTTGTCGCCTTTCTTAGACCAAGACCACAAACTACTCCTTTGCTACACACCTTCAAAGTAGTCTCATCATCATGGACGGAATGGAACAACTGGAGGTCTTTAGGTGTCGCTTTCCACACGCTTTCAAAAACTTCGCTGTAATTTCATCCTCACCCGGTGCCTTGTTGGAGAGTCATCCCAATCTCGCTCAAAATGAAGTGCATAATGCTATTGGATTAGTATCGGGAAAGACTAGTTCTCAAATAAGTCAACCAGTCAAGATAGAGTCTGATTAAAATATATTTTTTAATCTAATATAAGAATTAAAACGCTCGTGCGTCTTTTTAATAACTTTTCTCATAATATAATATTTCAAATATTCGAAAAAAACCACAATCAATACTGGAGTTTAGCAAAGCCATAATGTATGATCTTCTTGTGTATTTTTTTTAAGAACTAATAAACAAAACTATGTTCTTTCATTACCTGAGGAATATGGATGTCCTTTTTATCTTCTAGAACTCTTGCACCGTTGATTGTAGTAACCCGCACTTCGTTCCATTCCACATCATGCATGTCGTATTGATTGACCCGAAGCTGCGTGCCAGCGAGGGAGACCCCGGTCATCTCATCTTGAAGTGAGGCAATGTCGAAAGCTCCAGGGATGACATGATGAAGAAGAAGCTAGTGTAACGAATAAATTACAAGATAGTCATTAATTAATAAATAAGTATATCAATATATAAGGAATCATAGACAAAGATGGGTTCATTTTACGTTGATTTCGACCATCGCGACAATTTTCTAATACTTTCGGATGCAGTGAAGGTTGTATAATGTCACCTATATACGAGCTAACACATAGGACACTTCGTTCTAAGCCACTCGGGATCGATCTAACCCATATAATTAGATTCCAGCACCTAATTATTACAGCTTAGGATGCAGTTTCCGAGATATGGACAAAATTATAACTAGACTCAAGGAAAAGCAGCTTGTGTTTTTCCACATATGTTATTAATGACTAAGATTTGTGCCCAGGACCCGTGATAAAGCAGTTAGACACTAACCACTAGTCCTATAACGATTTAGAACAATTTTCTGAGCAGGCTTTTATTTTTAATAATAAATAAAATAAAAAGTACATTTAAATTTCTTACCCCACTCAGCAGTCTTGGATTATCTCTGAACTTTTCCTCAGCTTTATCTGGCCCACCAAGTTGTACCAACAGAGTCCTGAAAGCTTTGTCCGTTGGAGCGAAAATCGTGTACGGTCCAGTTTCATTTAAAATCGTATCCAAACCGGATTGTCTCAGGTATTTTGCAGTTGCGAAAAGCCCGTTTTCCTTCAGAATATCTACAAGACTCGGGTTAGCATTTTCAGAGATTTCTGGGAAAGATTTTGGTTCTTCAAATGTGGGTGGAACTGTACTACTTCCTATAACGACTAAAGATTCTGTAGTTGTTCGATGAGTAGGAGTGGTATTAACGATTGTTGAACTAGGGAATGAGGCTCTTGATGTTTGATCTTGATTATTTCTGTTAATTATGTAACGTGGTGCTGACGATTTAAGAACAAATCTTTCTGTTGTGGTTCGCGGGGGTAAGGGAGAATATGTTTGAGCTTGATATTGCGACTTTCTTGATGATTGATCAGTGTGTTGATAATATGATTGAGCTTCATGTTCCGTGGTTCTTAATGGTTGCTCAGTAGTTTGATAATATGATTGAGCTTGATGTTGCGTCGTTCTTGACGGTTGCTCAGTGTTTTGATAATATGACTGAGCTTGATTTTGGGTCGCTCTTGATGGTTGCTCAGTGTTTTGATATGTAACAGGTGTAGTGGTATGGATCACAGGATTATTATGTCCTGAAGTTCCATAATTGGACGTGGTTACAAAGCTATTGTAGCTTGAGGGGTTAAGAGAAGATTCTGATACATAATTAGTGGTGGGGTTTGTTGGAGCAGCAGTTGTTGAAGTGTGTCCAGCATTTGAAATTTTGGTACTACCGGGTAGTTGTATTTCTCCTTTCTTAATTTTGTTTATAATGCTCTCTACCTCTGGTCCTTCTTCAGTTTGCTGTCCATTTGCCTTAACGCCCTTAACCTTAAATGATCCATCGTCTTGTTCTTCCAGAAATACAAAAGTAACTTTCTTTTTATTTTGAATAGTATTGGGAAGTTTCGATACTTCTTCTAGTTTTCCATTATCGGATTGTTTAATAAGCTCAAAATTAGCACCAGGTGGTAGAACGCCTTTAGTCAGATCTTCAAAAGAAACTGGATTTTCTTTTTGTTGTTCTTGGTTAGCAGTTACAATTTTGGCAATATTTGAACTATCAGCTGTTATTGCTCCTTTTGGAATTAAATTTGGATTAGTAGTCCTTATCACTTCGAATTTTTGTCCATTTAAGGATATTTCTCGCGATGAAAAGTTTTTTTCGTTGAAATCTTCTGGGTTTTCAGCTAAAACTACTTTCAACTGCTTTAAAATATCTGGCTTTTGGAGAAGTTCCACGCTTTTTGCGCGTAAATTATCGTCAAAGCCTTTGGTCTCGCTTTCGTCAAGCAAGTTTTTTATTTCATTATACAGTTTTTGTTTATTTCTGTCTTGTGGTGGACTGCGCGGTCTTGAGGTTGGCCTGGTCCTATACCTATGAGTTGGAGGACGAATTGTTGTGGTAGTTGTGGTCGTTGTCGTCGTCGATGTGGTAGTTGTAGGATGCTCTTTTTCGTATAATTCAAGAGCTTTTCTAAACAAATCCGTCTCATGCGGCTGAAGAGGTCTATGTCTGTCGTGACTTTGGGTGTAAAAATTATCGTAGCTTTCAGTTGTGGCATGAGTAGGTATAGTCTTTGTTGCTTGCTTGGTTAGAAATTCTTCATGCAACTTTTCAACCTTTTGTTGTTCCTTTTGTTGTTGTTTCTCGACAAACTCTTGATGTTTTTGGATAATTCGTTGTCTTTCTTGAAGTTCCTTCAGTTTCTCCAAATTTTCTTTTGATTGCTGTTCATAGTAATTTTGAAGTTGACCGTTAGTAAATTGATTAAATTGTGACTGGAATGGAAATTGCGAGTTTTCAAGGTTTAAATTTTGTGGGGCGAGGTTTGGAGCTGGATGAATAGTGATAGGACTCGGTTGACCGAAAATTGGTTGATTTTGTGGAGACGATAAAGTAGGCAGAAAAGCTGCCTGTGTTGGTCTTTGCTGTCCGACATTACCAACATTTCCTTGAATATTTGGATTTGGGTTAAAAGCAGGAGCATTCTGTGCTATGGGCAGTACGTTTTGAAATGTAGCAAGAGTAGGCACTGATTGTGGAAGAATGTTTTGGTTCTGTTGACTGATCTGTCTGAAATTTTGCTGTGGGAAATTATTTGGGTTTACGTTGGGGTTTTGATTGAATTGAAAGGCATGGTTGTTACCTACAGGCACATTGCTTGGTATGTTTTGCACGGGTAAATTGCTTGGAATACCTTGAGTAGGTATGTTGCTAAATTGTGGAACGTATGGTTGTTGTTGATGCTGGTGTGGTAGTTGTTGATGTTGGTGTGATGGTTGTTGATGTTGGTGTGATGGTTGTTGATGTTGTGGTGCTTGAAGCTGAGGTTGTTGAAAAATGGATTGTTGAAATTGGATGGTTGGAGGCGGTGGACTCGTCAGTAAAGATGGTTGCTGTTGAAAGTTCTGCAATGGCGAATTTATTCCAAATCTCGTCTGATGTTCGTTGAAGCCTGGATGATCACCTGGCGGCTGCCTGCTTCTGTCGTATTCATTTTCTATCTGAAAATTAAGAAAAATACTTGCTTAGATATGTCTATTCTCAAATCATAGTTTATCTTATGCTTACGGCTTCCTATTATAGTAAGATAATCTGTATTCAACCTAGACATGACCTCTGATGTGATGGACAAAAGGACAATACTTTTAATAAATTGGTAACCTTAATTTGTGGAGTTGACAATGACCATTCTCAAAAATGTACTTAAAAGAAAACTGTACGAACATATCCGTAGTCTACATAACTGAGTCAACTTGCTATCTATGTTTATTACAGCACTGAAGTATATATTTAAATACTTAAGTGTGTATTCATTTATATATATTTGCGTCGATATATATGTATACAAGTATATATGTGTATATTTTGTGTATGTGCTGCACTTTTTGTTCTACCCAAAGTGAGCTGGTAGATTATGCCATATAGCATTAAGGTCGCTTTTAATTATCTTTGCCACTAGTCTATTTAATTCCATTGCTTTTTTTTTATAGTATAAGGGTGACAAACGAGCACACAGTCCACCTGATGGTAACTGCTGCTGCGGCCCATAGACATCTACATCTATCCTCTATTACAAATCAAAATGTAGATGCGTTGTCACACACTCCAAAATGTATCCATGTCCTAAGTACCTGTGACTGTATAATCTGTGTCACCAAATAGCTGTGCTGCCGTAATTCGGCCTGAAGGATGTAGAGAGCTGGTATAATGACAGGCTGTGAGGTACCATGTAAGTCCTAAGAAGTGACAACGAATTTGTAGCCTATTTGATGGAAGTTGGCTTTTTTATAGGATAAGAGTGACAATCGAGCACACAGTCCACCTGATGGTAAGTGGTTGCTGTGGCCCATAGACATATACATCTATCCTCGTTTGCGAATAAAATGCAGATGCGTTGTCAGTCGTGAGGACTAAGATGGAATGACTCTTTTCCAGTAAAAAGGATCTCCGGTTATCTACCCTCAACCTACGAAACACAACAGCATTAAGCTGCTATTTTACGCTGGTATTCTGTTAGAGCGTGGTCCAACCCCGGTCGAGCCGACCCATTCGTGCTACAACTGTACAATTGATATAGCTGTAGCATGGCCCTACGATGTATAGAGGTGCACTGCAGGTGTCCGTGGACCGCAATAGCCAATTATTATTTGGCACTTTAGTTTTATAAAAAAACTTTCGACGCTGTGCTGCACTTTGTTGGTATGGACATTTGATATATGCCAGATACGAGTTTTGCCAGGTAGTAGCATGAGAATCCTTCAGCGCATTTTGTCTTGTGGGAATGGTTTGAGGTGTGTCTATGGGATATGCCAAAAAGATCTTATGGTTCCCATTATATGATGGTATAACCATGAAAGGATGTAAGAGACTACCCCATAATATCCGTGGTTGCCGTGAGAGGTGACATAGTGAAGCTATAACAGGAGATGGGCAACATCATCTTCCTGGTTACAACTCAAAATAATAAAAAACTTCAACTGCCCCCTCGCCTGCCAAGCGTGGCAACTATGGCAATATCCTCCCATGAGGCAATCTATGTATGGGTAGGGGTTAAAAAAAACAAAATTATTGTAAAGTGAAATATGTTTAAAAGAAAGTCCCGTTGGGTTTCTTGCTGGTTCTTCCCAGGACAGAGGTATTTTCCGAACCAGTGGTAAATAAAAAATGACTTTTATGTATTATGTAATAATCTATATTGAATAAACATTATTCTATTCTATTCTGTCTTATGTTCAGCAGTGGACTTTTTAAACTATAATGGATGGATGGAAGAAAAATATTATATATTATGAGATTAACAAACATTTCGCTTAAATAAATATTTGTTAATATTTTTTTTAATATTAATTTATAAGGAGTAGGTATTACATAACACAATCTGTGCTCTGTGGTCCCTGTACTAGGTAAAATTGGCTTGTAGGGTTCCAGACTTTCAATTTTGTAATACTAGACAGGGGCCAGTACTAATAAATCCGTTAAAATCGGAACATGTGACTCTTGGATATACATTGTATATTCATTTATTTATTTATTACAGCCCTTTCCTTGGGCGAGGCATATGTTCAGCAGTGGACATCGAATGACTATTTTTTAATTCACATCGTGAAAAATTCTTAGATGAGGCTACAATTCACAGAACGTACCACAAAATATAAATGTACGTGACGCATCGGTAGCACGAAAGTGCATTCTTGATGCGCGTGCGCGCTTGCGCTACGGCGAGATCTGAATACCATCACACACTGAGAAGATACAACGAATAGACGGCGTTGGAGTTTAACATTTAGATAAATGTGTCTATTTATCCGTGTGTTTGAGGGAATTTCTCCTATATTTTCGAAGCGTTTTGTAATATATAAATTGCATAATTTTTTATTAATAATATTGAAGAGATAGTAAGAACTTACAGTCCACCATCAGCTGGATGCTAAGTTCGTCATCTTAGTCCCGAAATGACAAGGCATCTCTAGCCTACTTTGTATAAATTTGACTGAGTTATCACTCACTTCTGGACGTTTGAATAATCCGAAATTTTTTCACACATGTCAAGGAAATATATGACAATATAAACATTTCATGACTTTGACTTAGTGTAACTACTAGAACAATCACAGCTTATGTTCAAAGTGTGTCAGAGAAAATTGGAACAACTATACGTACAATACACATATTATGCTGCCTCCGCTTGGGATTAGAATCTGAAACACGCGGCGTAGTAGCCAGGAACTCTGGTTACTAGGCCATCTGGTTAGTTATCCATATATATGCAACTATACATTAAATGAAACTAATTTTTACGGATTCTATCGCGTTTAATTTAACTTTTTAATTCTCGACGTTTCGGGTGCATTATGCGGTTGCATTATGCAACTATATATTTTTTTATAGTATGAGGGTGACAAACGAGCACAGTCCACCTGATGGTAAGTGGCTGCTGTGGCCCATAAACATCTAATCTTCGTTTGCAAATTAAAATGCAGATGCGTTATCAGCCGTGAGGACTAAGATATAATGTCTTTTTCCAGTAAAAAGGGTCTCCGGTTCTCTACACTCACCGTACGAAACACAGCAACATTGACACAGCTGCTATTTTACGCTGGTATTCTGTGAGAGAGTGGTCCTTCCCGGGCGAGCCAACCCATTCGTGCTACAACTATACTATTAATATAGCTTCAGCAAGGCCTACCACGTGTAAATTAAATATATATCAAGGTGCCATAAGTACCTGTAGTAGTTTAGTTTAAAAATTTCATCGTAATGCAAGCAGCGCAAGATCGATCTTTTCTCGCACCCGTAAATTTATAAATTAGGTACAACTTTAAAAGCTGTGAAATAAAATATGGTGAGGCAACGTGCATGTCTGAGAAATTGAAAAAAAAAATTTAGAGGACATTTAAAATACGCCTTACCCAAATGAGGCAGTGTGGCGGACTCTAAAAATACTCTCAAAAATGTAAGGAGGCCTGTGCGCAGATGTGGGACCTATAATATATACTGTAATGATTTAACTATTATTTTACAAGGTTAGACGTATAATGGTAACCTTGATGCGTGTGCCAAATTATTAGACAATGTGGAATAATGTGATATTACAAGAAAATGGAGGCATATTGTATTTATTGAGATTATAATTATTACACTATTGTAAATTCTAAAATTGCATAAAACGAACATTGAGCATGTGGGAAAATGTTTAGCGAATTAATGTCTAAAAACGACCTGTATTCAACAATAACCTAATTTTTTATAGAATAAACGTGATAAACGAGCACACAGTCCACCTAATGGTTAGTGGATGCTGTGGCTCATAGACAACAACATCTACCCTCAATTAAGAATCAAAATGAAGATGTGTTGCCACCCCTGAAGAATAAAATGGAATGCTTTGTTTCCAGTAAAAAGGGTCTCCGATTCTCTGCACTTACCATACGAAACACAGGAGCATAAAGCTACTATTTTATGCTAGTATTCTGTGAGAGCGTAGTCCTAGAATATAGATGCGGCTTGGCCTTATCACGTCGCCATACGCCATACATACATAATATATTAAATTAAACAATACTTTCATTAAATACCGCCTTTAAAAGTCCACTGATGAACCATAGATCTACCCTATAGATTCCCTCATTGAGGGATATCTGCCACAGTAGCTACTCTTGGCAAGCGGATTCTCAACCGCAGTTTTTTATCTTTACTCAGCTGATATGAGGAAAATGCTGCTGCCCATCTCATCTTTCAGTTTTCCTCTGTCGCCTCTTACGACACCGCGGGTTGATTTGGGGTGGTGGATATTCTTACATCGCCACTCCACTCCATTTATTATGTGCTATTGATTTATACTTTCATCTTTTATAAAAAATATTGTATCATTGGCAGAGTTTCTTTCACATTTATCCGGTCAGAAGCACCAACTTTGAAACGGTATAATATATTTTTTAATTACTTACATCTAAAAATAAAGTACTTTCATTTCATATATTGAAAAATATACCCTCCTTCCTTTTTTGAATATACTAACTAAGTATATCAATCAAAAAAGAGAAATACATTAATAAAAAAAAACCAACAAATTAATCACAAAAATACCTTTAATATTTTACTCTTCTGCATTCAATTGAAACTCTAACATAGTGCATAGTATGTAGAGCCACGCGGCAGCTTTTGCTGTCGCACGGATGGGCCGGCTCGAACCGGGGTGGTACCACGACCTCACAGAAAATCAGCGTGAAGTAGAGGTTTACTTCTGCGTTTCGCTTGGTGAGTGCAGGTGGCCGGTGGCCCTTTTTACTGGAAATGAGGCATTCCATCTTAGTCCTCACGGGTGACAACGCATCTACATTTTGATTTGTAATAGAAGATAGATGTAGATGTCTATGGGCCGCAGCAACCACTTACCATCAGGTGGACTGTGTGCTCGTCTGTCACCCTTATCCTATAAAAAAAACGTCCATTTTAGTGTCTTAAAATACTACTGTCATCGAAATTCTAAAAATGATTACAT